GCTAAGCCACCCCAACCAGCCCCTGTTCCTCCCCCACCCCACCCCGCAGAGAGATCGATCAATAAATAAAATAATAAATTAATCAATAAATAAAATAGAAACAGCTCCCCACTCCCAGTCCCCCCTAGAACCAAACCAACCCCGGCACGGCCGTTGAGCCCCATCCCTGCAGGGCAAGGCCAGGTTTGTGTCCCCCCCTCCCTATGTACTCCATGGGCCCTATTTACAGATTCACAGTTGGGGGGCAGGGAAGGGGGGTGGAGGGGGCTCCCCTCCTTCCCTGGCCCCCTGGGGTCAGGGCAGAGGAGTCCCATTGGTGGCCAGGAGCTTCTTGTCCTTGGGGGGACCTCGGCGTGGGGAGCTGGTCAGCTCTGGGTCTGGGCGGCCAGGCGGGGGCTGCAGGCTCCGGGGTGGGGTGCTGGCAGGCTGGATCTGGGCCCCGTTCTTCTCATCTGTGGGGAGGAAGTGGTTTGTCACAGGCCCTAGGGAGTTTGGCGTGGAGGCTCCTGCTATCAACTGCCCTCAGTGACCCCAAAGCTGCCAAACCCCAGGGAACATGCTCCAATGACACCGTGCTGAGGCCCAAGCCCCCAATACAGGGTTGGGGGCCTGGGGAGATGGTTGCCAGAGGGTTACATGCCAGCAACCAGGCCTGGCAACCCTAGGACAACAGGCCATGCTTCCTAGGCCCCCTCTGATCCTTGTGGCCTTTGGAAATCAGGTCAAGTTTGTCCAAGTGAGACCCAGTTGCCCAACTAGGGGAGACATTCTCAGAGCCTCTGGTTATAGCGCTATTTGCTAAGGGACCGCTTATGTGGCAGCAAGTAAGATCTGAATCTCCCAGATTACAGCAAGAGGGTCCCCCTTACCTCCCACTACCCTTGCTGTGGAGCTGGGGTCCCCGCCCTCCCAGTTGGGTCTGCCTGACTGGGATCACCTTTTTGTAGGGTCTCAATCCCCCAGACTAGGGAACTGTGGTAGCAGCAATGGTTGCCAGTGGTCACCTAGCAATTTCTATGGGGCCCAAAACAGCACCTAAGGTCCTCTGGCAGAGAATGGCCCCCTTAGGAGACACTGATTGCTGGAGACCTTGTTTTCATGACAACCAATAAGGCGCTCCCTGTTCCTGGGTCAGACTGGAGGTTGCCCCCTGCCCTATTCCCCTTTATAAGACATGTGGCTAAGGCCCCAAGGGTGCCCGTTGATCCTACATCTTTGAGGGTGTCCCCTTTTGGGAACCCTGGTTGCTAAGGCCAGCTTTCCTTGGCAACTGGGTCTAGAAAGGTTCAGGGAGCCTAGCTCGCTTTCTTGTTGCCCCAGGCAACTAGGCCCAGTGGAGACTAATAAAGCAGGGTTTCCCCACTCCCCACTAGTGGCGCTTGGGGCCAGGTAACTCCTTGCTGTGAGGGCATCCTGTGCACTATGGGATATTCTGTAGCATCCTTAGCCTCCACCCATGAGATGCCAGGAGCACCCCTTTCCCCGCAAATTAAGACAATCAAAAATGTCTCCAGACGTCCCCTGGGGGGCTGAGGTAGGCCAAATCATGCCCCGCTCCAAAGATGTCTCCCTCCGAAAACTGAGAGCTGTGACTGGGTTACTTTATAAGGCAAAAAGGCCTCTGCAGTTGTGACCAAGGTTAGAACCCCGAAGTGGGACAATTGTTTTGGATTATCTGGGTGGGTCCTTAAAAGAACTTTTCTCAGCTGAGGTCAGGGTCACAAGGAAATGTGACCACAGGATGACCTTCAAGGAGATGAAATGTCACCAGCTGTGAAGATAAGTGATAAGCAAAGGAATGTGGGCCTGTGGCCTCTGAGGACAGAACCAGATCCCTGTCCCCAGCCTGAAAGGAGGGAGTGTAGTCTGGGACACCTTGATGTCAGCCCTGTCAATTCTGACCTTGTCAAAATGGGCCCCCAGTCTGGAACCACTGCTCCCAAGCAGATCTGACCCTGGGACTTGGCATTCTCCCGTGACAAGGCCACCCAGGCTCCTGCCCTCCTGGATGGGGTCCTGTTTGCCTGCTCCCTTTCACTGTGGTGCCTAGGGAACCCCTATGCCAAGGGGAGGAGCCTTCATATCTCAGGAGTGGGGCTGAGCCAACAAGTCACCCCCTGGGGCACAGAGCGCATGCTCCCAGATGAGGCTGAGTCTTTGAAAGGCAACTCAACAGGGCCAGAAAGGTCCCAGTTTCTGCAAGAACCTGCTCACAGCTCTGCAGGTGAGGCCTCGACAAAATAAAATAATAGTGACAACGCAAGAACAGGTAAGCCTTGCGTCCCCACAGCTAGAGCCTCGCCTGCAGACCCCTCCACCTCACGGGACAGAAAAAGGAGACAGCCCCTCATCCCCTGCCTCCCACCTGCCAGGGCCTGCACAGAAGGCTGGTCATGAGTGCTTAGAAGCTGTGCCTGGATCGTCTCCACAACTCGCTTGAACCGACGGCTGGGACCTGGAAAAAGCAGGTAAACATACTGACTTGGGGACAGGTGGGGACAAGGAAGGCCCTCCCACCCTCTGCCCAGCAAAGGGGTCACAATTTCTTCCCCTGTTAGGGCTAGGCATAAATCCATGGAGCTAAGAAACATTGGATTTAAAATAACAATGGTTATTGTTTTCTATATAAATGGGTTTTATTGCTTGTTATTTTCTAGTGGAGACCATGAAAAGCCAGATATGTGAGAAAAATCAATAGAAGGAAAAAAATGTTAAAACTAAGAACATTCTGCATATTAGTCTTTCAGGAAGAAAAAAAGAGCCATAATTCATTGAAGTGATGTAACACCCCAGTGTTTCTTAACAGCCTGGTTTAGAAACTCTGGGAGAAAGCTCATCTCCTAGTCGTGACATATTAACGTTGGTGACAAGGAGAGCAAATAGGTATCCCTCATTCCCCAAACTTCTTATCAGGACTCAGGGAAAAAGTATAATTGGAAACAAGGCATTTCTGTGGTTGTCATCTCTTGTGCCAGCTCTTGATTGGTTGTGGCTGCCTGGAGTTTGAGGCTGTCC